AAAAATTGACTCGCAGATAAGAGATGGATACCCTTCGATGTTAAGGAATGAATGGCAATATCTATGTCCATGACTAGGGAATTCCCGAAATATGTGTTCATTCAAAACTTAAAAAGGAGATGCACAATGTCACTTTAAAACAAAGATTCTGTGAATGTCGCATTAAATTTCACTCAGTGGTACAAGAGGAGTTGCAGATAAGAGGTGGGTACGTATCTCAAAGCGTTATGGACGGATACTCCATCACTTAGATAGGACTTCCTTAAAATATCAAGTTTATTAGAGAATAATATCTAGATTGAAACATATTAAACATTTTCTATTATGATCCAATTATAAATGTTAGAAATGGAACATGGCAAATATTCTTTATCACCATTAACCTGAACAGAACACAATAATAACAAAAGTCAAATTCTATATTTTTTTTAAAAAATTTATTTTAATATAGAAGGAATGTAAAACTCCAATGATATTTTTGTTAATGGAATAATGTTGATGAATAGAGACAGACAAAAATATGATGGATAAAGTTCAATGAAATATCTGCACTTAAATAACCTTAAGTTTCATTTTCCTTTGACATGGATTTCATCGTATTAGAGAATACTAGTTTTAAAATTAGAAACACACTTAAGGCTTATTCTGAGTGGTTACAATGTCTTACCTGATGACACTTATGGTAATATAACAACCAAGATATATGAAAAACGTGATGACTTTAACTTTTCTATCGTCAACTTCCCTTCTTATGCAGCAATATACCTTCATCACCTGCATACGGAGTTTATATATCTCAGTTGATTCGATACGCAAGAGCATGCTCTACGTATGGACAATTTCTAAAACGAGGTAAATTATTGACAAGCAAGTTGATGAAACAAGAATATAAACAGTCTCGTTTAAAGCCACCATTTAGTAAGTTCTATGGTCGATACAATGACCTTGTCAGCAAATACAATTTATCATTGAGTCGAATGCTGACTGACATTTTTCATACCAATTGTTAGTCCATTATTTATAACCTGAATTGACGACGGATTTTTTCCTGTATTTCACGATCATGACAAGGAGCACACGGCGGGTGTGACCGGTCGACAGGGGATGCTCACTCCTCCATGGCACTTTATCCCACCTCTGATGTTTTGGAGGTCCGTGTTTGCTCTGCTCCTATTTTGTATTGTTTTCTGGACTTTGAGATTGAATACTGTTCGTTATCTCAATATCCTTCTGTATGATGTCACTCGGAATTACCCAACAATTGTCTTTCGTATAGTACACTATACGTGTGTTAATTTAAAAAAAATCTGCCCAGACAATATATTTAATTCAAAAACATCGTTTGTTTGTTTGGTGTTTGTTTGTCTGTCTTTATTGTCTTTGTCTGAAAAGTATTTTTACAGTTCTTACAAAAGTTCTGCCCAGACAATATACATGTATTTAATATAGAAACATGTTTTGTTTGTTTGTCTTCATTGTCTTTGTCTGCATAGTATCTTTTTATAGTTATAATAGTTAATACTTTTAAATAAAAATATGAATAGAATGATCAATTTGATTGGGATTTATTTTGACGTTTGGACATGGCCAGCTGCATTTGAAATATCAATTTGCAGGCTCTTACAGTTTCAAAATAATCAATATATATTGTAAAATGAATAAAGATATTCAATCATAGACAATAAATTTCTTCTTTTGATATATATTAAGAAAAATAATATTTGTGATACACGTATGTTAACATAATATCGATATATTTATTCGTAAAAACGAGAATGTACTACGTGGGGTGTTTTTTTTTTTAAATGTAATATAACTGTCACAAAATCTTTGATAAGAGAATTTTTATTATAAATCTAAACATATCTATACATTTATCAATTTTGATTTTGCCCTTAAATATGAATGGTTTTTTTAAATATAGTTACGCAACATTTAGTCTTAGGAATCAGCGATCAGCAAGAATTATCGACGTCGTTTTGACGTAACTTTTCGATTTTTATTCTGTTGATGCATAAAATTTATATATAAAGATACAAAATTAGAAGTTACATTTGGATAAATAGCAAAAAATCTCAAAAGTACAACAAAAATTGCAGTAACAATACACGTGTTAAAAATGTGCGCTGATCATAAGCGCATAAATAACATTCTTGTCATGCTTGGATAAAAACATTGAGTTTTCCCTCTTTGTTCAGTTTGATATACAAGGAGGCTTTGTAAATTAATACACAAATTTGAATTTGTTTAAAATTGCCTTTACTATTCCAATTAGAAATTTCCAAGATATTAAGAACTATATGGGTTTCAGTGAAGCAGTTCTACTGGCATTTGTTATACATAGATAAAATTACAAACACAATTATTTTAAAGCACTATATAGGCTATGTTTGGCTTAAAATGTATATAGTTAGAAAAAAATAGCAAAATATCAATTATAAAACAATGGTCACATATTGATTCTAAACTATTTAAGCTCTTGATAAACATGTGCTTCATCGCCATCATTTTCTTTCTCGTCTGAAGTTATAAACCTTACATCTCCATGTACATAATGAGTTAAAATTTCTTTTTGTTTCTTCAATTTCTTTTTATACTTCTGTCTATAAATAAATCACACAAAGGAAAAAAAAACATAAACATATCTTGAGGAATTTTCATTGATTTTAAAAAAAAAAACATTGTTCATATTAACTTCGTATTTTTATTAAAATCAATAATATATGAAATTATAATTTGAAATTTTTTGAGGTTTTGAAGAAGCATAAAATTACTGGAAGAAAAAAAAGTTAACCATTTAAATCTAACTAAAGACTGTACCTGCAGAATACTATTACACAGCTCATGGATAACAAAGCAAATCCCACTGTACTGCTTATCAATCCATAATTCAAAGTATTTAAGTTTGTCTTCTGTACTGCAATATATAATAAGTAAAGAAAGAGAGTATTATTTCATTTATTTTTTCATGACAAGAAAATCATCAAAAACCACAATTCACAAAAAAATATTGAAATATACCTACTGAATATATCACATCTCGAACCGCTGTATGCCTCTGTACATCCTTCCAGACAATTACCTGTGATGAAATCGCAAGGTGTGTTCTCTGTACAGTGTCCTGTGCATGCGTATTGACAGTTCTTACCATAAAAGCCTGGGGTACACCCTTAAACAGAACATTTTTATGTTGGAAACTTAAAACAGCCAACAATTAATTTGTTAAAGATTACAAATCTGAATTATATTTTTTCGACAGATTATGACACAAATTCTTTTGAGTTTTGGGGGAATTAACGTTTTGTGCATCCTTCATAAACAAAGTATTTTAAGTAACTCTATAAATTATTTTTGTTTTTAAATTGCAAAATTATAAGAACATGAATGAGTTTTCAGATGTGTTGTACCACGTATAAATGAAATAAGAGTTGTTGCTCCTGCTACAATATCTTAATAATTACATGTATGTATTGGAAATTAAGAAATATCTGTAACAATTACATGTAGTTATTAAGAACACTAATGTATGATTACACAAACACTATCTCATTTATTTATTTTAATGTTCCTTTTAGCATGTAATGCATTTCAAAAGATTTTGAAAATTATATATTTGTACCTTACATTTGTTTATGTTTCGAATTCTGTTTTATGTTATCGTGGTAACTGTTTTTGATTGATAAACCATGAAGATGACGAACATTGGTTGATTTAATCAATATTGCAAACAGTAAAATTTGTGAAATGGGCCAAAATGCAGGACCCTCAAAATTATATTTGTACGTATTTCATTTCATGTATCACAATGACAGTAGTAAGTTTTTGACCCTGATATTGGTCACTTTAATTTTATAAATCATTTTTAGAATACTCATTACAATTTTACAAAAAAAACAAAAAAAAAACAAACAAACAAACAAAAAACAAAACAAACAAACAAAAACAAACAAACAAACAAACAAAAAAACAAAAAAGAACAATATCCCATAAATTGTTCAAGCAAATTTATTATTCTGAATATACATTTATATCACCTGAATAAATCTGGAAACCATGGTACACTGTATTTTAGACCTCCAAGCAAGCCCAATAGGTACAAATTTCTTGAGCGGTAACTCTTTATATATATGAAACATACGACGAAATACATATCAAAAATACAATTTCCAATTTTTTATCCGATGTATATAATTGTTTACATAGACATGAAGATAAGAAATGAAATCATCTTTTAGTGTAAATATATATTACATGTTTCATTGTAGCTTTTGCAGAAGAATATAACAAAATCTGATTGGACTGTATATGTATTTTTCTGTAACAGCTGAATCACATATTCTTACAACCATGCAAGGAAAAATATGCATTCTGTAAGTATTTTTACAAAAAAAAATCAAATAATGTTCAAAATATACTGACAAAGGTGTAAAAATACGTTAAATTATGAAACTTTTTTTTCATAAGGTTATCCCTTTTTGATCTGCAGATACAAGTTTTAATTTTTATTAACATATCTTAATAATTTTAGTTTGACTTTAAATCTAAATAAGTACAACTAAATCAATTTAAAGTTCAATTCTTATTTTTGACATTTATTTTATGACATTAACTCTCATAATTATTTTTATTCTTCCAGTAAGTTCCTTTTTAAAACTTTCTACTTCCCCCGCGTGATAATACAAGGAAGAATTCTGATTCATTTTTGTTCAGTTGCGTAATTATTACGGTAAATTGTCCTCCATGCTGACACTGAATAGGGCGTTTACTTCCTTGACCAATTTGCTTTTCTTAAAAAATCTCTCTTTTTTTTCAAAGATAAGCTTAGACATAAAGTTCACAATGCTAAAAAAAAATCTTTAAAAACGGGTATTCTTAGTATTCTTCCTTGTACGTGCAATTAATGAGCAGAAAATAGTTATTAACTTTTCCTTGTAATTGATTTCAGTCAGCCATAAACCTTGAGGCTCTCATTTTAGTAAGCATATACATAGTCAATATATATTACAAATGTGTTGAGTAAATAAAATGATATTTATAAAACATTCAAACATAAATCAATTTTATACATATGCATGTATGCTTTCATAAATTTTGCACACAATTTGTAAGGTATATATTTCTATACGTAAATTTTTAATTTTAACAATATTATTAATAATTTCTAGTTATAAATGTCGACATACGAGTAAAGAACAGGTGACACAAACAAAAAAAGGATACCTTGATTAATACATTTTTCTAGGCCATATTTTTGCAAACGATGCAGATACTAACTTTCTTAAACATCAAGAAATTCTAAAGTTCCTACGATGTTCAATTTCTTATTTTCTGAAACCAATTTTCTTAATATATACAATCATTTTTTTTTTCAAATTTAAATCCCAATTTTGTAAAAACTAAGAATGAAAAGTAAAAAAATAATATAATGCATTAAACTTTTTCATTTCACTCAATGAAATCAAACATGACTCAATTTTTGTTATTTCCTATTTGTTAAAAAAAAAGATCTACATTCCTGAACATCAAAAAGATCATTACTAGTAACTGTTGACTACAAATATTGATTAACATTTTATTCATTCATTATTTTGCAAATGACTATCAAAGTAAAAAAAAAAAACTTTAACTCGAATTTTATTTTTTAAAATGTCCCTTTCCTTCTTTTTTATTTCTAAATTAAGCCATTTATGAAGTGTTTTGCACTAAAATATTCTATCGAAAAAAATCGACAGAAGTATACAGGACATTGCTTTTGTTTTATTCTGTTAAAAAAGGTTTTTTAAACAAAAAAAATATTCCTTGTTTATTGATTCGTCTTACGTTTTCTTCACTTGTATGTAGCTAAAATAAACGATTACATCATGAGATTACAGTTATAATCTGAACGTTTAAGTTAAACAGTAAGAGTACCTTATCATATAAACATGTTCATATATCAAATATTCATTTAACAATTTGCATAAACTGAGTCATTTTGTAGATATTCTGTCAAAGCATCATGGCAGAGTTGATATTCATCCTACAATTAATAATTAAAGTTTTAAGTTCGCAAGAAAAAAAAAATAAAACATAAATTAACTGACTATTTACAAAACACAAAATAACAATGTGTGGAAAATAATATGCCTTTAACAGTTCTTTTATTTGACTAACCAATGTGGAAATAAACTCTGGCCTTCGAATTTGAAGCACACGTGTTATTGTGAAAACGTCCACTTCCGTATCAAGGGATATTTGTTGCAAGGCACTGTACACAACACAAAATGGCCCACAACGCTTTGCACCATCACTGAAAAATTATTTTGTTCAATTTTTTAATTTTGTGTCATGTTTGTGATTTACAGAAAATAAAAGGAGTGCAACTTAGCATAAGCATTAAACTGGACAGAAATATATCTTTTATTCCTTAAAAGAAATTAAGAAATCACGAATATTTCTACCTTGACAAGACTACAATTTTGGATTCAGAGGGTAGATCTTCAATTTGAGTTTCTTTAACCACACCTAGCAACACTCTATGATCCAAATCTGATATTCCTTCCTTCCATGCTGTACATTCTAGTACAGTTAATCTTGTTGCACTGCTTCCCTAAATCAAATCAAATTATAATTATTTAATAACTTAAGCGTTGGTAAGTTTAAAATATATATTTTATGCTATAAGGGCAACGTTTTTACATGTATATATACCTCTTTAGTGAGCTCAATCTTCGTTGTTGTTGTGTTTGTTGCAGTTGTCGAATCAATGAATTTGATTGAAAATGGACCAACTTTTTTCTGTCTCTTATGGAATGGAAACCATAAGGCAGACTAAAATGAGTAAAAATATCTTTTTGAAAACCGATGGAAAAATTTCAGACAAACCATTGTTAAACAGTAAGACAAACAGTAAAAAAGTCATTAATTCTGTTATGATGTATTTCATTATGGAGCTGTTATGTACGAATGGAAATGTCCTAAATAGATTTTTACAGGCTTATAGATGAACCTTCTTGTTTATAATTTAATAAAAATAAATTATTGTTTATTGCAAACATTGTAAGTGAGTCATATCACTTAAATGTCTTACTGATTTTATATCTTTTAGAGGACACATGGAAACTACAGTATGGACGCTGAAGTCCTTTAGGAGTCTTAGAAAGTCCTCGGTGTAGTCAGGAAGAGGGAACTGGGCACTAATCAGACTGTCGTTGGTGGTGAAAGACTGCAAAAGGTCAATTAATAGAATCAATGAATTTCTTTTAAAAAATGACTTTTTGAAGACGGAATGAACAGTTACATTTTCAATACACTTTTCATTCATTGAAAAATTGTTTTAAAACCTGAAGACAGACTGCATTATAGTATGTTCCTCTATCCTTCACATAGGAAAGACGGCACATGTATTCATCAACTGAAATGAAAACAGTATATTTGTTTAGATTCTTGTGATCAGATAACTACCAAACCGTGTAAAGCTATGGAAAAATTAGCTGATGAAACTTAGATCTAGACTGTATCATTTGACGTCGATATTTCGCAAATGTTTTAATCGAAACAATGGCAAGTAAAATATTTCATGAAGTAAAATATTGTTTGAGGTTTTTCGTAATTTTCATTCTGAAATGTTTCAAATTCGTTTTCTTTCTATGGATTTCCAACTTGATTGCTGTTTTTTATCACAATATTTCTAGTCTGGTATATCAAAAGAATAGATCATGTGATTTTCATATCTAATGAAATAAAAATTAACACGGTCTCTATACGGTTTAATTATGGATACGTTAAATGGATCAATCAATGAAATGGCTTACTTGGCAAAACTGATGTTGAAAAATTTGCCTCTATATTCGCTCGACCAGTACCAAAATCATTATCTGAATATTTTGGTTTGATGGCCTCCAATTGCTGAAAGAAAATGGTACTTATAATTTCTTGCAATACAAATAAATAAACATTTTTTTTCATCAAGATTTCAGCAATTAGACTTATAGACGTAAGATGTCATGATTACCGGTAATTTAAATAATATTCACTTAGTACATGTAAATGTAGAAATTGGAGACAAAAAATTGTAAAAAATTATGAAGAAAATGTCAGAAATTTGTATACCCTTATCTGATAATAGTGTAAAAAACATAAGCTATTTCTGCTCAAAGTCACTCAAATTCTTTATAATACATACTCCAGACAGTGAAAAATTAATTTTTGGTTAAAAAGCATTATATTTCATTATAATATTTTCTTTTACATTACATCACCTGTTATTCAAATGTAATAAAAATATATACTTATATTTGATTTCATGTCACTTTCTGAATACCTTTAATTCGTTTTGAAGCTGCGATGTGGATTTATTTCCATATAAACTTCCCTGATATTCTTGTAAAAACTGATCAGTTGATAAACATTTCGGTTTTCCTCGAAAGGACTCAAACAGCGTCAAATAGACAACCTTGTACTGATCCTTAAATCAAATTGTAGATTGAAAAATATGAAAATAAAAACAAAACGAGAAAAGAATGCAATAATGACGAAACAACGTTTAGGAATACAAATACTAAGGGGAAAAAATGTGAACTTCATTTCTCATAATTGTTCATGCTGGAGAATACTTGATCATTACTTACATGACCCTGAATCATATTCATTCGGTCTTTCCTCATGATTTCTACGTATTTCGGTACGTTAACTTTCCCTGTCTTTAGTCCTTCCCTGTAGAGGGCGTCTAAAGCAATGTAAGTCCCCGTGCGACCGACTCCAGCACTGAAATGAAAAATCCAAAAACTGGAAAAGTGCTGAAAGACGAGGCCAGATAATAAACTTATTATAATACTTAATACAATACTCCTTATTCATAAAACAATTGTTTTTGTTCTTCTATGTAGATGTATATATTTTTGTAAAATTTTGTAAATAATGTATGGCTATTCAGATTTTATGTATGGGAGAGGACTAAGTTTTTGGAACTTATGCCGAATCCCTTTGACATATTTTCAATAAAATAAGTTCAAAACAAAAACAATAAACTTCATTATTTTACAAATTTTGTAACTGCATGTTGATATTTTTTGGAAGGTCATCGAAACTGTCTATTTTTCATTAAATAATTTAATATTTACATTGTATTGAAATATAATTAAAGCAAAAAAAAAATCAATTTTATTATATCAATATGATTAATGTCTTTTGTTTGATCCAATTTAAATTTAAAAAAAACTATTCATGTGACTTCATCTAAAATGAATCAGATAAGAAAGAAGGAACAGAAAAGTATATTTTCTTTTTACAGAGAGCTATTGACCAGTGTAGGAGGGTTGTCCCGTAAAATCGTGGACAAGTTGTCTAGTATAAAAAATAAACATCACTGCGTTCTGAAATTTTCACTATTATTTAGTACATATTTTAGTAATATGCACAGCAAATTCAGATAAATATATGCATAAATAAACAAATTATGTGATTTTATGCCATGTATTGTATCACCTTACGGCGCATGGATTATAAAGTCAAAGTATCTAAAACAGCGTCACGTTTTATCTTTGCTGAAAATGAAGTTGGATGAGTCCGACTCAAACTTAGGAATTTCATTGTTACACATTCTTTAGTCTCTATAAACAGCCAAAGAACCAACTGGCACCCTCATTGGATCTTCTGAATATTTATCAGCAAGTTACGGACAATATTCTCACCATCATTCAACTTATAGAAAATCTCATATCGGCGGTCTACTGTGACAGCGTCTTTTGCTATTACATGAGGAGTTTGTCCATATGTTTTGTACTCCCCAGGAACTCGATCAAAAAAGAATTCGCTAAGAAAACTGCTATTTCATTTGTATACTTAAGATATGGTGATATTTTTATAATCTTTCTTCTTCTATGGTTATTTCAAGTCTCTAAAGGTGTCATTACAACATCGAATTAAAACGGAACTGCTCTCCGCTGCGCCGTAACGTCATAAAACGTCGCCATTTTTCGTGTGTTGGGTTTACCACTTTCCCATTTCGAATGTTCGAGAAACTGCTAAAAATTAACCAAATGCCTTAAAATTTTTACAAAGACTACAAAATTGATCATGGAATTGAATTAGAATAATTTTAATCCACATCTTATGTATTTAAAACTTTTATTTTGAATTCAAACTTGTGTATTCTTTAATAAAACCTTCGTTTTTTGTCCGTGCGCCGTAGGACAATACCCCGTGCATATTCAAGCATTATAAAATCTTTATTTTTGCCTATATTTTATCAAACAAATTATCATGGACTTAAATATGATAAATAAACATCTACTGAAATTTTCAGCTTAGTGTGCTCAATACTTTTCGAGAACAAGAGGCCCCTGGGCCACATCGCTCACCTGAGAAGCTTTGACCATTCTGTTCTTTACCAGATTTCCCCCTTGTTATACATAATGCATCCCCATCCTACCCCACTGATCATAATTTAGACATTTTGAAATCTACACTACCCCATGATCCTTCCATGGGCACATATGTTTCAGCTTTTTTTGGCCCAGTGGTTCCTGAGAAGAAGATTTTCAAAGATTTTTCCTATATATTTCTATGTAAAACTTTGATTCCCTATAATGGCCCCGCCCTTCCCCCGGGGGTCATTATTCCTACAATTTAGAATCTACACTACCCCAGAATGCTTCCACATAAGCTTCACTTTTTCTGGCCCAGTGGTTCTTGAGAAGAAGATTTTCAAAGATTTTTCCTATATATTTCTATATAAAACTTTGATTCCCTATTGTGGCCCCACCCTTCCCCCGGGGGTCATTATTAGAACAATTTAGAATCTACATTATACCAGGATGCTTCCACATAAGTTTCAGCTTTTCTGGCCCAGTGGTTCTTGAGAAGAAGATTTTCAAAGATTTTCCTATACATTTCTATGTAAAACTTTGATTCCCCATTGTGGCCCCACCCTTCCCCCGGGGGTCATTATTTGAACAATTTAGAATCTACACTACACCAGGATGCTTCCACTTAAGTTTCAGATTTTCTGGCCCAGTGGTTCTTGAGAAGAAGATTTTCAAAGAGAAGAAGATTTTATAATGACCCAACCCTATTTTTGTCTTTTCTTGATTATCTCCCCTTGCGAGGGGATATGTCCCTTCATTTTAACAATTTAAATTCCCCTTCACCCAAGGATGCTTTGTACCAAGCTTGGTCAAAATTAGCCCAGTGGTTCTTGAGAAGAAGTCAAAAATGTGAAAAGTTTACAGACGGACAGACGGACAGACAGACGGACGGACGACGGACAAAATGTGATCAGAAAAGCTCACTTGAGCCTTCGGCTCAGGTGAGCTAAAAACGCTTTGTCCACGATTTTACGGGACAACCCTCGTATGCTGTTGAAAGCTGGAGAGAGATAGAGAAGGGAATGATTTTTTTCTACCTCATGTGTTGGTAAGGTAAAAAAAATTCACCTGCAGTGTACAACGATGTATTTTATATCAAAATATTCAGAAATCCTCATCACATGTTGATGAAATATGACTAGACTAAGTGGGTTAGGAACACCATGGTCGGGCCACTTTGTATAGTGAAACATCTCCACCATTCTCTCTTTCTGAACCTAAAATTAATATTATAAGGACTGAATCTTTAAGAATCACAGAAATCTTTTCACATACACATGTGTTTAACGAACCATTTTTATAATTAAATTAATTTGAAAATGAGTGAAATATGGATTTTGTGAGCTAATTTGAAGACATATTTTATGTTTTTAGAAAATAAATACCTTATTTTTCTTTAAACGAAGAGATCTTCTGATGTAATTGGCATATTCTTTTTCGCTTTGATTCCGAATAGTAAATTCTCCGATTTTCATAGAATCCCTTGGATCTGCCCAGTACTGAGCACATTTTATCTAACAAAGGTATATATCTTATATATACATAATAAAGTTATTGGTATTTGATTAAAGCTTTAAAAATTGAATCCATTAACACGCTTGCTCACCTTCGTCCCTTCCTTTAAGTTTGTTAAGCACACAATGATATTCAGGTTTTCTTGCCACAATATAGACCAGAAGTCACATAATGTCGTTGGTTTAGGACCTTTTGCATATCAAAATTGTTTGATATTATTTCTTGGGTTAAAGTAAGAAAGTGAATCCTAAAATTACTTTATTTAAAAATAAATGATACCTTGAGTAGCTATATATGATCTCCGTCCCTGCAAGTCCTAAAATACAAATACAAATAAAGTAATGTAAGAAAGAATTTTAAAGAAATACGTATATTCGGACGTAATTTCTTTTTAAGTGCAGAAAATGTGCAGTAAAAAAAATATCAAATATTTTTTTTACATTGAAACCGTCAGTTTATTTAACATTATTTTTGAAAGTGTCTTTACCTCGATGTAGTTAGCATTAATGTAGTCAGATTTATCTGGTGAAACAGGTTCAAGAGCAACTCGTGAGTGATCATCTGTTAAAAAATGAAATTTTAAGAAAAATGATAAAGAAAGTCAATCGAATTTGAAAGAGAGAGAGGTGAATGAAAGCACAGCACTTACAGGGATATGTTGTTTTGTATCTGTTCTTTGGGACATTTTCTGGCTTTTTGGCTTCTAAACAAGGATGGAGTTCTCCTTTCCGTATTTGCTAAAATTGCAAAACAACCCGTTAGTGGATTTCCTGCAGTTTAAGTATTTTGTCATTGAAAACGTTTTAACAATATCTGTTTAAAAATACATTTTTCTTGAAAAAAAAATAAATTGTGTGTGGTTATTTTTTTTAAGAAATCAAATGAAAAGTACCTTATATTCATTTTTGAATGCAGCATCATCGTCTTGTGACATTTTCTCGATAGTTTTTTCCAAATCTTTCGTAAAAATCGTTTTCTTTGAACGCGTGAGTCCGCCTCTCGGATCATTTGCATACCCAGAATCCAAAAGAAGGGGTGTTGATGAGATACTGTCATTTTTGTTTTGGTCAGATGGTTCAGGCACTAGAATAATGTTCAGAATCTCCGTAGTTCTATATTCACTTAAATTTCTCATAATATTTTTTAAATATTTGAACTTCCTCTACGTTATTAAAGTGTGTTCAACATGTTCCCTATAACATATTTTTTGCTATTCAAGATATAAATTGTACTATTCTGTATTTTTTTTTTCATTATAGTTCGAACAAACATGCATGCGTTACATTCATTCAATATATTAGTGATTCAAATGTCATCCAGCAAAATGATTAATACATTCTTTTTATTTTCACAAAAACAATCAAAATGTTCACGTACGACGTGTAGATGGCTTAACAATGTTCTCTGTTGTTTGAAGAGTTGCCATTTCTTCATTTTCTATCAGTCGTTCTTTTTTCCATTTCTTCCTGAACCTGTATCCAGAAGTTTTTGATGAAGAACATATTTTTAAAAAATATTTTGCATTGTATACTAATATGTTAAAAAATCAAATTGTCTTTTTCAGACTAGTACCCTCTGTTTTGTTCTTTCTCATCATTTACACTAAAAAATTTTATTCAGAGGGTACACCTGAGTGCATATATTTATACATGTACATGCAATTGTATTGGGCTCAGTATTCATGATTATGGTAATGGTGATTAAAATGATAATTAATAAAACTAACTATAAGTATAATAATAAAATGAAAACGATAAAAAACCAACCGAAGGAAAAGAATCGCCGAAAGAATAAAAATGATGAAGAGTATGGATGTACCCACTGACACTCCAACTGTCACTGTGTTCCCCTTACTCTGTAACTCGTCAATTCTTCTTATTTCTCTTGGTTCTTTTGTGACCAAAATATCTTAAAAAAATATCTTACTTGTTGCCTACAGTCTACGGGTTTTGTATGTTTTCAAGAATAAATAGACCTATTCAGTTCTTTCATGACGTTCAATGGTGTATTTTCATGGATCATATACTGGTTAATCAAGAATTATGTCTTTTAAAGTACTATTTTTTGTTTTTTCTTATTTGACGTATTTCTGCAAAAACATATTGATAAACACTTTACATGTGTTGTCTTATTCATAGTTAACGCCAAACAGTAATATACTTACTTTCTCTGCAGTAAGGATCATTTGATATTTCAGGAGGACATTCACATATTCCAGTGACAGGATCACAAGGCTCCGTGCAGTTTTCTGAACACTTATTCGAACAATTTATACCAAAGTACAATTCCGAACACTCTACGATAAATTTATGATTCATACATTTTATTATTCTAAAGATTTTCTTACAGATGTAGAAACATACTATTCGATCCACAAAACAATTATTTTTTTATTTAAATTTATTTATGTTTATCTTTTAACATTTATCACTTTATATTATGTATTACATACTTGATAGAATCTTAAAATCTTAAAAAAAAACTTTTAAAACCTTAATAGGATTTTATATTAATTATATTATGTCTTATTTTATAAGAATTACATAATTGTATCTGAGTCTTGACAACCAGCATTGTTTACTTTCTGTGCTAGGATTATATGGTCGTTGTAGAATTTTTATTGTGTTAACGTGTATTTAACAGCTATCTCGTATTGATGTTGTATGGCATCTGGATTTTATGTGTGCCAAAAAGATTACTGCGCTACTGTGTAATCGCATCGGTCAAATTAAATTTATGATCCAAATCTACTGCAACTGTACAATGTATCGCAAATTATTAAATTACCTAGAGCCTCAAAATTTTATTGTCAATGTGAATTCATTTCTACAAAAACAGACAGAAAATTATGCAAAATCTCAAAGTTACAGAAAAAAAAACTTTTGTTTAATTAAACTCAAAACCTTGCATAAATGATATAATAAACGACTTCTTCAAGATTGTTATATATATATGGATATATATACCTATCAAATAATTACATCTGCTTCCTTGCTCATTTCTCCCTCTCGGAGGTTTAATTTGAATTATCATCTTCACCGCAAAGTTTAACTCGATACTGTTTCCAAATTGTTTCGCAATAAGTGACAAATAGACAATAAAATATCAACAATATAATGAAATGTTTGTATTCACGTCAACAAAATTACTGTAAACCAACTGTTACCCGCGACGACTTTATTACGCAATTTTATGAGGGTAAAGTAGATTAGACGATTATTTTTCGCGATGAAGACTTTTAGGGATCTGTTATTAATGGACACAAAACATGTAAGGATCGGTTCGCGGTGAGACAGTTTCGTGATGACAAGCTTTAAGGGTCTCTCGAAACTTGCAAAAATTTATCACACGCGAATAAATATTGGTTAACAATATATGTCCAAATTCAGAATGACTGTCATTTAGTTTGATGATGTGACGTTTGCAGGTAGTCAGTACTTGTTTGAAGTCAAGGGATGGAACCTTTTTCATAGTATTCTGCTTCAAATTATCTTTTATGTCCTCAAAACTGATAAAGAATATTACCTCTTCATAATACCCCTTAATATCTTCTCTTAACCCTCCAACCCCCACCCCGGTGACAAAGCAAAACAATTTAACTTGTCATGTACTATTAATAGATAAACTATACACTTAGCACTTTAAAAATGACCACTGAACATTAACTTGCAATCTAGAAAATATAAAGCTTTGTCTTTTGTCGGCATGGACGTCTCAGAAAACATTGGATTGAAAGTAATATTAAACACAGGTTTTGAACTCTCATATGCCATTTCCGGGTTGAAAGTGTTCAAGTTTGCTCCAAATGAAAAAAAAAAAACACAATATACTAAAAATCATGCAAATCAAAAATTTCGATCAAATATTTTTAATAACACAAATTATGAACGTGTAGATATACAGTGGACCTTCAGATATCCGGACCCCAGATATCCGGATGCTTCAGTATCCGGAGGATTTTTTTTATCGGGACGGAATTTTTAAATGTAATAGTGTCTTGTTTATTTGGTGATTTAGGTATCCGGACGCTTCACATATCCGGACAAATTAACTAGGAACCAAAGCGTCCGGATAAATGAGGTTCCACTGTATAATGTATAAATGAAAGTCTTTTGTTTGATAGTCATTTTTCCGATCACTAACACGGTGCTCATGCATATGAGCTAGACAACATGTATTTGAAAATGAATTTAAAACTAGAATTTCCATTCTAAATTTTCTCAGACTCCCCGTTTTTTATTGTACATCCCCGTGAGGATCCAGGTTAGAATAGGTCCTCAGTACCCCCTTGCTTGTCGTAAAAGGCGACTAAATGGGGCGGTCCTTCGGATGAGACCGTATAAACTGAGGCCCCGTGTCACAGCAGGTGTGGCACGATAAAGATCCCTCCCTGCTCAAAGGCCGTAAGTGCCGAGCACAGGCCGAAATTTGCAGCCCTTCACCGGCAATGGTGACGTCTCCATATCAGTGAAATGATCTGGAGAGGGGCGTTAAACGGTATACAGCCAATCAATCAATCTTATTGTACATGTCCATTGTTTTGTCTATCATCGAAAATATTCACAGTAACAGAGAAATATGGTGTAAACTGCATATTTCCAACCATGCCAATTAATGCTTAGTGGTCATAACAACCATACATACGTGAATTGCAGAGTGATCCATTATATCCATCTGCGCATCCTTTGTCACAAAATCCGGTCACGTGGTTACAGGTTTCCGAGTTTGCACAATGACTGCTACATTTTTGTTCACAGTTTTTTCCAAATGTCATCGAAAGACAATCTGCAGATTGTATTGTATAAAAAATAAATTAATTTCTTTATAGCTTTTATTAGAAACTTTAGCCTTCTTTAGTCTAAAATTCTTCCTTCCTTCTTATTTTTTTATAAAGCAGAAGTGTTATTTGATGCATATATGTCTTAAATCTCCAGTTAAGATGAGCCATAGACTTTTTTGTTCAATTTGGGAACGAACATTAGAAAGTTTTTAAAAAGTATGAAATAATACGTTAACTTAAGCATGTTAAGCCTACTGATAATAAACTATATTTAATACTTTTGATAACTATCGAATTTTACTGAAAACTTTTAAACTATCAAAATCATTAGCAAATATGCGAAATTAAGCAGTATTCGTTTTATATGAATAATTTTACAAAAAGCAGTTCCATATGAATTTGAAAAATGTTTGTGTAGGGGTTTTGGAACATAAAAGTATTAGGTGTAAGAAAACCAAATCGATGGTAAAATGCTTTGATTTACAAAAAAATGATACTATAGTAAAGAAAAGTTTATCAATAATACTTATTGGTTAGAAAAAGTTTTACCTTTCAAAACGATCAAATTGAAACTGGCATGCATGAAGAAATGATACAGATGTTTTGAAAGATAAAGCTACAAGTTCGGTAAAGAGATTAGAATGAAAGGAAAATAAAAATATATTACCCTTAAATTACAAATAAAACAAAGACAAAGATAAATAGATCCTGTTCAAAAGATATATTATAAAACCTACTTTCAGTACAATTGAGATTTCTCCAACCTGGCATGCATCCATTTTTACAAGAGCCCACTTCATGGTCACAGGTGTGGTTAATACAATTTGAACTGCATTCCCTTGAACAATTATCACCGTATCGGCCTTCGACACAGACTGTAAGAGTACAAACAAATGATGATAAGTAAAATAAAATTTTAAAAATCTGAAGTATTTCGTAAAAGTTTTTTTTGAATAGTTGAAGTACTTTTATCACACTTTTGTCCCTGGTATCCAGCCTCACACCCAGATTTACAATTCCCTGTCACGTGATGACAACCACCAGCTTTGCAATTGGTACTGCACGTTTTTGAACAGTTTTCACCATACAATCCAAATAAACATTCTAGAAAAATAAAAGTTTACTTTATTCATTCTCTTTTCATAATATTAAATTTAATTCTGTAAGAAAAAATGATAAATTTACTTTAATAGAAATAAATACAGAATACTTATTTATAAAGTTAGCAATTTTCCCATAATTAAAGTAATTTAGATACCACAGTTAAACCGTTAATTTCATTTCTAACCTTTGTTACAATAAAGATCGGCATATCCGGCAATGCACCCTCCATTACAATATCCGGTAAATCGATTACAAGGTTTATTTTGTCTACAGTTTCCACTGCAGCGCAAGAAACAATTCACTCCATATTTTCCATCCGCACATGCTGTGAAATAAAAAATATCCATTTTTGCCTTTTTAAATTTAGAAAAAAAACATAGAATTTTCTTTTCATTTACTCTTTTGTATGGATAATGAAAATGCATCTCTAGAGACATTATAATTGGACACTGTTATTTATGAAATCAAGCACTATATATTCAAAACGATTTATGACACAGTTTCTGTACGTCTTAAATTAATAAAAAAAAATACAGTTGTCCTTTTTTCTTATTTCCTATGACTTAAAATAAATCAAACAAAATTAATTGGATAAACATTTAGAGGACCGATATGATAAATAACCCTTACTTTTTTGGTTATTAATTACCTTGGTCACATTTGTTCCCTAACCATCCAGCCACACATCCATTTCCGCAGTATCCATTAACATTGTTGCATGTTACATTGGAAGCACAATTCCAGCTACACGCATCCTTGCACGCCACTCCATAAAATCCAGTCTTACATGCTAGGGAAAAAATAATGCTAGTGACGCACACAAAAAAACAACACTACATCTATCTAAAAGATAATTAATTTACAAAAAAGTCCCTTAAATACATCAGAAATTTAATGTTAGAATAAATTTATTTTGAAATTAACTAGCATCTAAAAAAATTATTCTCACGCTGACTACAGAATTCTCCCGTCCACCCAGGCTTGCATCCTAGGCAAGATCCATTGACTATATCACATCGTTGCTCTTGACAATTACTGGGACATGGGCGAGAACAGTCACTTCCAAACATCCCTATTCTTCTACACCCTAGACGTACAAAACAATTTATAATAATTCAGTATGCGTTTCAGACGCGCAATTCATATAATCACGAAAATTCTGTTGTGAAAAACATTCGTACCTTTAACTGTTATTTCACACAATTCTGTATATGAATTTGCTTCGTAACCCTTAGGATATTCTACATCTGCAAGTCGTTCGTTGTAATATGTAATATATTTTCCATGTTTAGGGCAGACAATTGTAAAATCCAAAGGCGGTAACTCTGTTCCAGATTTGTAACATACATGTAGTAATCCGGCAGCCAATTCTGTTGTGTTTGATACATACAAGGAAAATCCGGCAAAGCGGCCCCGTTGTCTTTCAACTATAATTGAACAAACGGAATTTATGATAGTTCTTATGATTAGAATGACTTTAAATACGATTTATGAATTAAAAGTCATCATTTCGCAAGATCTATGATTGAAACAATGAACTTAAAAGCAAATAAATTTTATCTTAAGCTTTTAGTCAAAATATGCAGATAAACTTTTTTCACACAAATCAATAGGCCATTATTTTCACATCAAATTATCTATGAATTAATCTTATTATTTTCAAATCACTACAAGACACACATTGCGTTGAGACCGGTCAGTATGGCATGCTTACTTCTCCATAACACCTGGTTTCATCGCTGATACTATATACAAATATGTCCGCTTTTTATTTCATTCACGAAATTAATCTAGCGTTTATAGAAAACAATTACTAAAATGAGTTTAAGGTTGAAATTATTGGGAAAGGCATCAAAAACATTAATCGTATAATGTTTAGAAATGTATGATATCAACGATAAGATACATACATCAACCAAAAAAAAAATATGCTGGAATACAACATAGTTACATTCTCACTTCCTTCTCCCTGCAGGGAATTTCAGGTTATTCACAAAATACCCAATAACCAACATTTTCACTTTTATTTATTTTTTTTTACTAATTATAACAATAAGTTGATACAAAAAAGAATATTAACTTGAAAGTCTACAATTGCAGGCAATAGCATATGTCGCCCCAAAGTGGAAAAGACTTTCATTTTTTCATCACTAAAACAATACCCAGTAGCTAAGCTTGGGCAACGATCAACTCGTATCAGTCCTTTCAGTATTACGAATCAAAGTTAAAGAATTTTATCCATGCATAGGCGTTGGAACCGGGGGGGGGGGGGGGGGGGGGGCTTAGCCCCCGTTCCCACCTTTTTATCAAAGATAGACTTAGTACAGATATCCGACATTGCTGCATAGGTTTAGCGCTAGCCCCCCCCCCCCCCCCCCCCCTTACCCAAACGTTCCACAGACACATTGCAGTATAGGCTTAAAATGGGAAAAGTGATGGTGTTTGGAAAAAAATTTGGTAGTGAGTTCGCACCTACCCCCCACACCCATCCACCACGAAATAGAATTTTCGTGTTTGGCCAATGAACATTTCCTTTTTTTCTATCGCTTGTCATGTTTTTTAAGGTAAAAAATTTTTCACATCTCGCCCCCTGCCCCCGATTTCAACGCTTCCGACGCCAATGCCGTGTTTCCATGGCAAATATTCACAATTTGCAATTTTTAAATGCAGAACGCACAATTACAGATACTAATCATTTATTTACATCAATTATTGATTTCTTTATGAAGAAAAGGGTTGTTCAAGGGTCCAGAGAGAAGATTCTCGGACAAAATTCAGCGCTTTTTGCAGGTTTCCATGGCAACGGTAGACATTTTGAAACTGAATGACCACACAACATATTTACAACCAGTGACCAGATGATAAAAAAATAAATAAATAAATAATGAGAATATATACTTGGAAGGATTAAGTTTGAAATTGAATTTGAAACATATTCCCTGCCAATACTACTATCTGCACATGTATATTTTGAAATACTATTGTTTAATGACTGTTTTAAATTTGATATTTTAGCATCGTTCTACATACATGTAGGTACTAGATGTATTATTTTTCCAGGGAAATTTCAAGGATAAAGTAACAGCCAAGTTATAATAATATAAATATCGTAGATAATTATGCTATAAACAGTTATTTTTCAAACACGATATTTTAGTTATTTAATTAAAAAACGTGTAAATCCTTACCATCAAAAAGATAAGTCCTTTCACTTCGGAGTTCCGAATGACAATGAAGACTGAACGATAAGTGAACGGTGAACGCAAGGTGAACGCAAAGTAAATGGAACGAAGAGCGAACGGTGAACGCCAGCGCACGGTGAACGGTGAACGCAGCACTGAACGGAGAGCTAACGGTGAACGCACGCTGAACGAACAGTGAACGAACGCTGAATGAACGGAAAAATGGGAAAGTAGAACGTTTCAGGGACTGTATTGTAAATTGGGTCAATTCATGCGAAATTGCTCTCAGCGAAAGCGACCTCAGACTCAAGTGCGAGCGCACTTAACATCTATTATTTATCATTATAGAGATAAAAGCTTGAGCATTTCCTGTTCTGAGAATTCCGTGGAAATTTATGTCAACCATTCTTCCTTTTGATATTGAATTTGAGTTCCGTATTTTTTTCATTGGTTATCTTTATAAATGTGGGCGGAGTTAGGGGAAAGAGAGGAGATGTGATGTGTGTATCAGAGTTTCAGCCTTAGATTTAGAGTTTTAGCGATTAAATGTAAGTTTTTCGATTTTCATGAATAAAGATTGAAACGAAACATGTAGGGACGAGTGATATTTTCAAAGTATAATTCCGATCGTTGCAATATCTACATGTTTTGACAATATTTATTTTTAAAAACCATTCTGAAGATTCTTTTTTGATTTAATGTGAAATCTAACGAATATCTGGAATTAACATAAACAATGTCATGAAAAAAAATGAAATAATCGCTTAAGGAATTTGTCATACCGTATTTTGATCCCAAGTCTTTAAACTGTATCCTGACACTGTAAATACTGAGAATGCTGCCGAGATCTAAACGCCACCATGTCACGTGATCAGGACCGGGAGGTAAAATAACTCTTGTTCTTGAACAGGTTCCCGTGTTCCCATCAATTGCATTTTCCGCTTTATAGGGATTACATAGAGCTCCCGTACATTCCCAGATCAAGTATTGGTCAGCTGTCCGATTTAATGACAAATTATCTAAATAAATGGTATAGTTTGCAGGAATAAAAAAAATATTACCAAAATATTTCTACTCTAAAATCACATAATTAAAGGGGAAAAATTGCAAATTTTTCATAAAACTGTTATAAAAATATATATTTAAATTATTAGATGATTTCCATTTCAAGAATGCTTCCCTGGAATAAAATCATCACAAGCAAAAAATTATTTGACCCTTTGACCTTGACTTTGAGTTTGACTTTTTTTTTGAAAAGCAAACCTTTCAAAGGGTTAGGGCTAGTACTAGCACAGTTTTCATATTGTGAAAATTAGCGACATCAATCAACCAAACTTGTAAGAGATTTATTAGGACCCAAGTGTGAAAAAGTGTGAAAATTAGCAACATCAATCAACCAAACTTGTAAGAGATTTATTAGGACCCAAAATGTGAAAATTAGCGACATCAATCAACCAAACTTGTAAAAGATTTATTAGGACCCGACACTCCAAACCACACTTTAAGTAGATATGTTTTTTGCATAGAGCAGATTAATATCTAATTTGAATTATGCAAGTAGTTGTAGAGTGTTTCGGCTATTAAGAAGCCACATCAGGGGTCACGGACATAAATCATGGTGTTTGTTTTAGGTGAGACCGGATTATCTCGTCACCTATATTGTGTTTGCTGTAAGCAATGATTGGTTGAGAATTAAATAAAGTTTTGCATTCTGGATTTCTAAGAATGATGTTCCAATATTTTAGAATTCGTTTTTTCAGTCCTTTAACGCAAGGTTTAAATTTAGTAACCAGTACTGTAGGGTTACGTAATGACTGTTCTTTAGTCTTTTTGATGATGAGTTTTGATCGGTTTGTGTTGGCCGTTTCCTTGATAATAGGATCAATTTCCGAGATAGAGTAACCTCGCTTTGATAAGTGCGTCTTGAAGTCATTAAGTGTTGCAGGTAATATTTCAGGGTCAGTGGTGTTTCTTGCATGTCTAATGCATTCTCCTTTAATGAATCCTTTAAACACAGCTGGGCTATGAGCGCTCTGTCTGTGTAGATACTGAAAGTTATTTGTTGGTTTGATAAAGGACTTGATATCAAGTTTGTTAAAATTTTGAAATTTCTCTCCTTTATAAACTGTAGTATCAAGGACGTTTACAGCAGATGGAGAAATTTCAAATTTAAATCTGAGATGCTTGTGACAGTGATTGCCGATATTAAAGAATTCTTCTATCTCTGGTTGCGTTCCATTGAATATTATGAAACCGTCATCACGGTATCTGCCGTGGAAGACAATTTTGCTGGCATGACGAAATTGTGCCATTATATGCTTTGTGATATGATACATTCTGATGTCACAGATCTCTGGACTGGGGACTGCCCCCATACTTGCTCCTATTATTTGTTTGTAATATTTTCCATCGAATTTGACTTTGAGTTTGACTTCTTTTTTGAAAAGCAAACCTTTCAAAGGGTTAGGGCTAGTACTAGCACATTTTTCCTCTTGTGACAAGAGGTTTTATTTGTTTTATTTGAAATCAAGAATTTTGACCCTTAGACCTTGACCTTCGAGTTTGATTTACTTTTTAAAATAATAATTTTAACCTTGGTCATAACTTTTGAAAAGTTAAGGCTATGGCTTTTATACTTCACACATGTAGTCTTTGTGGCAAGACATTTCATTGGATACCAATTACCTTGACCCATTGACCTTGACCATGGAAATTTTTCTACTTATGAAAAACATTAACCTTCGCCTACTTTCATGTTTCACAATTGTATTCCAGTAAGAATATCCTATTTTGTGTACCAATATATCAACTTTGCATTTAAGAAAAGTTAAATCTTCGCTATGTTGCCATTCGGGGGCATCAATGTTTCATGAACAGAATTTTTTTTTTTAGAAAAAAAAATTTTCGGGTTAATTTTTCATTTTTGTAGTATTCAGCATAGTTAAGTTTGTATTGCTGCACAACTATAAAAATTCAACTTCTTTTATTACTATACAATTGAGCTTAATATACATAATTTACCATGAACTAGTGAAAGTTGAAATGTACTCAAATTCTATTTTGGAAATACAGTCAAACCTGTATTAAGAGACCTTCCAACGGAGAAAGGAAAAAAGGTCACATATGACAGGTGATCTCTTAATACAGGTTGCTTATTTTCTGCAGTGTTCAAATATACAATGCTGGAA